TATAGGGTTTTTTACCGCAAAAATAGACTAAGCATCGCCGAACGCTCATTCTCCGCCCAAAGGTAGCGCTAGAGGTCACAACCAGATGCCAAAGTTTCAGCCTGATCCGATACCTTATTCAAAAGTTATAAGTGATTTCCTGAAAATATCAATGGGAAAATGAAGCCCATTTTTGCCCGTTTTCGGTTTCTGGTGCCATAGAGCCGCATGTATTCGAAAACACCGTCGGCCACCATTTTCCCATTGAAATTTTCAGAAAATCTCTTATAACTTTAGAATAAAGGTATCGCGCTGAAATTTTGGCATCTGGTTGTGACCTCTAGCGCTACCTTTAGGCGTAGAATGAGCGTTCGGCGATGCCTCGTTTATTTTTGCGGTAAAAAAAAAATGTGTAATTTTTTTTTCTTTTTTTTTTTTGTGACAGCGTTGTTGCACGCACGGAGCTAGAAAAGCGATTGAAAAAAGGAAGGAAGAAATATCGCTCGTACTTCGTTAAACTAATTTTACACAATCATGGCCAGAAATGGTCTTCTTCTCAAGAGGGATTAAGAAACAAGGGAAGAAATAAGGAAAGAAAATGTAGCGATCACCTTTAAATGTTAAGTCACCACCACAAGGCCACGAACAGCCGACGGAAGTTAAGCGAACGCATCTCGACGAGCCGTGTGTTCGGCGTCGGAGGACAGGTCGCATTCGGAGTCCTAGTCGCGGAAGCCCGAGTCAGAACAGAGAAAATCGTGTCCAGCGTCCAGCGAGGGGCTACGATCGATGGCGATCCCGCGGACGGCTCGCCTCGAGAGCGCCGCGCGGCACTGCTTGTCCGCACCGCCGAGTCCCCCACCGTCGCAGAAGCACGAGTCGGTGCCGTCTCGTAGTCCCCCCTGTGGAAAACGAGCCCTTGTCAGGGCGCTGTCAGGTGTCACCATCGTCATGTCGGGACCGCACCGGAGCGCAGAAATCTGCGGTCCGTCGCGCGGCGGTCGCCCTTGGGTGGACCCGCGCTGCCTTCCCCGCCGGCGCTTGGGGGCACCCGATAGCCATCGCAGCGAGCGAGGGACTCCTCGGAGCGGACGGCAGGGAGCCGGGGGTCTACCGCGCGGGGGGCTCCTGAGTCAGCAGTTTATCTGCGCATTCTCAGGTGTAGAGCGCGCGCGCACGCACACGACAGGGGCAAGGGCGCTCGCTGCTCGCCCTCGCGCCGGCCACCGAGGCATTCTCGAGACAAGTTTCCAGCGGCCGGGTGGCCGCACCGTAGGCTGGCCGGGCTGTCCGTGGGAGCGCGGCAGAAGCAGCGCCAGAAGCGACATTCCACGCGCACAGATCCTCCGGCTTTAAGCGTCGCCGATTGCGTCACGCTGCGAGTGTGTTCTTGTAACGATCCCCCCCTCCTCAATGTTTGAGCCGCGCACGGAGCAATCGATAACGCCGGTCTCAATTCGGGCATCGCCGCAGCGACCCAACGGCCGAACCCCCTTCCCTGGGAAGGTGCTGCGCGAGCTTCGGGCGACCCTCGTGTCCGGCGTGACGCGCTCCTTGCCGCGGGCGGGAACTTGCCCCGCCGGACGTGTCGAGTCGGCACGTTGCTCCTCGACGTCGGAGGGACGTAATGGCGCTGACGGACTTTCTCGCCCTCTCGCCGAAATCGCCGAGAAGCGCCCGCGTGCTGCGTCACCTCCTCGGAAGGAAGCCGTGCCCACTGATGGGGACTGGCACCAACGTCAGCGTCGCCGTCGGGTCGGAGTCAGTTCGCGTATTTAAAAGGATCGGTCGACGCGGCAGACTAGGGTTGACGAATGTCACGCCCCACGATATGCGAAATGTGTTTGTAGAGGTCACTAACAAAGAGAAAGACGACGCGAAGGACCAACAATATAGAACACTGTTCTCGTACCTGTCGTAAGCGCGTTCAATTTTAATGGTCGTGATGACGTTCTTATGTCCGCGGGAGTACCCCGGCTCCTCGGCAGCGACTTTCAATAAGCAGACGGTGGACGAAACTAGAGAACGGAATTAAAGAGATACAGAATATCGAGCCTCGTGAGCTAGTTTGTCAGGCTTCCCTTATGTTGACAGTCCAACTAGCGGGCAAAACAAAATTGTTAACAGATAAATACCGCTTTAACAAATTTTCCTCGTGAACAAACGCCGATGCTCGAAGCGTTCGACGCGTTTTGTCTTAAATTAAACAAAGAACAAAAACTCCGGCAAAATGCCAACACCATCCGCTTGAAACCACTAATCAACAAAATCTAGTTGGCGCCACGTTTTACACAGCGACACGTGCGTAAATGAGGACTTGTTTTTTTTGTTTTTTTATCATTATTACTTAGTCTTCTGGGACAGCTGGAACAAGGTACTGCTTTTCTACAAACCTGTTTTCTCTTGCCACTTTTTTTTTTATTATAATGGGTGTGACTTGCGTGCAATTTAGCTCCATACCCCAAACTCTGAACATATTTGTTTTCAGTTCAGCATGCCAATTATCACGATGATTGTTCCTATTAATCCCATGAAACCTGACCGACATAAAATGTCGTCAGATTTCCATTTCCTTCTCATTAAAGCAATGGATGAGGAGGACACTGTCTTTTTCAGTGGATTCTCAGGGAACCAACTCCATCTAGCGAGGGACCGATGATATTGTAGAATAACGGACTAACGACTGCACAGTGAATCTTTTGTGTCGCCCTAATCAAGCACGTCCGAGGGAACCAGGGCGCGTGCGATATTTGTTTGAATTTCTGTTTGGCTGCGTGCATGCTGAGTTCTTGCAGAATTTGTTTTGATCATTGAGGATTAGGCGCTGGAGGTATGGTCACAGTAACTTCATAAATGGGTCCATTGTTCGCCTCAGTTCGGCTCCCCAAATGTATAGAAGTATGTATATGTCCGCCTTCTCTTACTTTTGAATAGGCCAACTAATATGTTTATATCATTTAGTCGACTTATTGTAGAAGGCTCGTATTAAAGCACCACGAAAGTGTAAATTTTGTGAAGCACCTAATCTCGGCACTGCGTTAACCTTCGGAGAGAGGCCAAGATTTGCGTCTCGCAAAAAGCACAACCTAATACTTATTACTTGCCGTTTGGATAACAAATTATGACTTTTTTTTATATTTTTCATCGCAATTGAAGCTACAACAACTAGTAGCGTGCCATGTGCTCATCGTGGACGCCAACTTCGATGGTAAAAGTTGGCGTTTATACGCATACTGTGTATCAGCGAAAGGCAGAAAGGCGCTGGTGCCATGTTCCAGCTAACTGTGTTGTGCGCTGTACGCAACACCATTCCGTTTCCCACCTCACAATTCTAATAAAATCTGGGTGAAGCTAACTATGTCCATTTTCTTTGCTTTATTATTGATTCTGGAATCTTGTTGGGAGATACGGCAGTGTCATGGGCTGCGCACAGACGACAACGCGGCTAGCCTAACAGAGCCCGCCTCCCAATCAGAACCCTCGGTTTCACTAGCATTTGAAAGGCCTGCAGACCGGAGGCCTTTATGGAATCGGCGAATCAACTCTCGATCCCCACTTTGCACGGAATACGCCCGCTACACTCTGGTTCGCTGACTGACCCTTTTACTGTTTACAAACATGAACTGCCGCCTGCGCCCTAAGCGACTTGCGGTCGCTCCGTTTTTGCAAGCCTGTCAAACTTGCTTATGTCACCAGTGCTAGAAAGCATACATGCTACACGGACAACAAAGTTGGAGATTTAACGAGGGCCGTGGGTTGCACAATTTAAGGTCTTTGTGGATTCAAGTTGGTTTGCGAGAATATTCGAAAAGTTTGAACATATCTCGCTCTGCTTCGTTCTTTTGCCGTTCACCTGGAGAATCGGTGGTTAAACGTTTCATCTGCATTTCAAGAGTGTTGTAGGCGTTATCGAAAAAAAAAAGAGTAACTCGTTACTTGCAAAATAAAAGAAAGCGTCACCGACCTACGTTTCCTCAAAATAAAAGGAACGCGTTACCGTTACCGACAAAATGTGACGCCCATAATTTTTGCGTTACTTTTTATCTATAAATTGACGGTAATAGCGTTTTTAATGGCGACAGCGTCTTTCGATACTGGGACAAAAAGCGAGGGCGTTGGGGTTTTTCTAAAGTGGAACCTTTTTTTTGTGGGGAAAAGACAGGAAAAATCGGGAAGGTCTGCGGAATGAGCCCAATAATTAATGACGTGGCACCTATACTTCGTTTCAGCTTAAATCGAGACGCAGCCGACACTACGAACTAATGGGAGCAATCAAGCAGCGTCAAAGGCGCGAGTCATGGGCCTTTTTTTATGATTGGTTCAGCGATGATAGAGCACGTACAGAAACATTACGAACACCATGATGGTGTGCTTTTGACGCTCTCCGATTGGTCCCATCAGCTTCATAGCGTCGGCTTCGTCTGGACTTAAAACGAATAATAGAAGCACGTAAAAATCGTAAGTGTACTTTTTTCAGCTCTTGGAAAGGAGATGTAACGAGTAACGTAGCTACGTAAGTACTTTACCCGTTACTGTTTCGAAAACGTAATGAATACCGTTATACGTTACCGAAAAAAGTAACGTGTTATACGGTAACGCCGTTACTTGTAACGCGTTACTGCCAACACTGCATTTCAAGCAGCGGTGTTAAGGTGGGCTTTGTTCATTCTTTTTATGAACCGCAAGTTCTCTGGGACGTCAAAGACCGGTGCACCCCCTGGTGGCATTTTCCATGAAAAGGGTCAATAAAAGCATTCGGTGCGAAGTCCTTTGCCATGTCGGTGGTACAGGGTGATAAAAAACTCGCCTCTTTCACGGCTATGCCCACCAAACAATTGTATTGAACCCGGCCTCGGTGAACTGCCGTATGCATCTCTCGAAATTGCGTGTTCTGGAACGTTCGTGTAAGGATGACTGTCGGGTCTGTTCAGATTATTTGCGGCCCAAAAAGGAACGGTGCGATGTGACCAGCGTCCGGTCGGCGAGCGTTCTTTGAATGTTCGCGTGTTTCCGCAACGCAGGAGGATGTTCCCAACCGTCCGAGTGTCCTTCTCCGGAGTGCAGCCCGACGCTCGGTACATTGTGCTCCTGGACATCGTGCCCGTGGACAACAAGAGGTACCGGTACGCGTACCACCGGTCCTCCTGGCTCGTGGCGGGAAAAGCCGACCCGCCGTCTCCGGCGAGGCTCTACCCGCACCCAGACTGTCCGTTTACGGGGGATCAACTGCGCAAGCAGGTCGTTTCCTTCGAGAAGGTCAAGCTCACCAACAACGAGATGGACAAACAGGGACATGTAAGCGCACCTTCCTTTTCTGTCGGGCCCCAAGTGTAGTCACTATGCACTGACCGGCGTATCGCTCGAGCCGCGTGTTCTACAAACCACGTCTTAAGGCCCGTTCACACACTTGCACTTCCTTTAGGCACGTTCACACACTTGCGACTTCTTAGGACCGAGTGCATTCAAACCTCTTAATATCTGATACGACGAGAGGACACACTGGCACTCACTATCGGGTAGCGGTGGAACACTTGGTGGTCCCGTATATTTTCTATTTCTTTCGCGCATTATTCTTTCTTTCTTGGCTTGAAAAACTTTTGTCAATGTAATAAACGAACATTCCTCATAAGCAGTACGAACATTTGACCTCGCGAATGCCGTCAAACCTTCGGTCCATTGAAATGCAGTTGTAGGGTCATTTCATAGATGGCGCCAGCGTACCAGAGTGTTCTCTCGTCGTAAGAGATTTTAAAAGATTTGAAGGCACACGGTCCTAAGACGTCGCAAGTGTGTGAACGGGCCTCTTGGTGAAAACAAGTGGAAGAAGAACGCGTTGGTATAAAGTGAACCGTGCTGAAGCGACTAACGTATCGTCTGGGCCTTGGTGTTTTAGTGTAGTGTGCATAGCCAATCACCGTTATTTGTTACAATACAAAAACAAAAATAAATTAACGGGAAGAGCCATTCAATACCTAGGATTTTGTGTTTTCCGATAAAACCAACTAAATAAAATAGTAAAATGATAAACAGTCGCAGGGCTCAAACAGAATGCATTCTAAATTTCTGAAATGGTGTTGTGAGTGTCTTAATTCGGTATTCTTAACCTCATTCGATTGACTAAGTGTGCTTATAGTCGATGTCCTCTCTGGAAAAAAAATTATTAGGGTCGCGAAATAAGTTAATCTAAGCTCAGTGGATTCGACACAGCGCACAAGGAACGAAGACAAAGTAGAAGGGTCTATATCGCTTACTGTCTCAAGCACAAACGTTGAAATCGAAAGTGGACTTATAACGGGCTAAAGGCTTGTCAAATATGCTCGAATTTATTCCAATTATACCCTGATCCAATCCACCTCCCGCAGCATTTAAGCATTTGGCGCGTATAGCCCCGGAGCAGGGGAAAAAAAAGAAAAAGCGCAGGATCACGACGCATTTACTGCACGCGATTGGTTCAGCCGGCGATAACGAACGCACAGAGACGCGGAGCGCCATGACGAAGCACTTTTGGTGCCGTTTGATTGGTTCCCGAGGATCGTGTAGCGTTGACTGCGGTCAGATTTGGTGCGAAGCGGATTGTATAGACCAGCTCAACTCACTGATGTCGCGCCACGCCACTGTGGTGGCGCTGCTGTTGATACTGCGCATGCGCAGGACGCTTCACTCTTCCCGAATTTGGGGTCTGCGCACGCGCATGTGCCCACACCTGGTGTAGGCAAAGCGGGCTTCTTTGGAAATACTGCGTCGGTGTATATAGTCAGTCCGACTGGTGGCGAAAGAGGCTAATTTTGGGCAGTGCTTGCCACCGAACGATCGGACGCTATCGCTGCGTCGCAGTTCGGTAGAGGGCATTCGGAGGTTCGGGCGCCAGACCTCGCCGGTCCAATGATTGCGGCCGGCACGTTGTCTCTAGAATATGCGAGAATTCCGCGTAAAATGTCGCAACTCTGCCAAACCAAACTTCGTAGCGCGCGGTCGGTATAGCACATACTATATCTGTTCGTGAAAATATTGTTCACAATGAATACGGCCGCTTTCTGTTCATCACGCGTTCTTTTTTTAACTTTTTTATGCAGATATTATTTTTTTTATCCGAATGTCATACATTTTTATTCGGCACTCTGCGTAATTTAGTGTATACATTGTCACAGTTTTCTTGCGCATAGCCGAGTTGGCGTTTTGTCTGAGCGAATTCGTTAGCGTTTTGCTCCGCGTGCCGTCGTTCCTTTTTTTTTTTTTCTTTTTTTTCCCAAAGCGTCATGGTTTTAAAGCCGCGGTCCCACTGCAAGTGCATCATCCAAAAGTCAGCGTGCAGACACTGGCTGAAGCCTTCTTTGTATGACGGTCGCAATGATCATACAAAAAACTCTACAGACAGGTTTTAAGCAAATAAATGTATGAAGCAAACGTGCTTCGAAGATACGTGAGGCCTGTCCGCGGATGTCGTCGACTGTATATAGACTACATAGACTATATCAACTGTGGCCGCATCTCGAGCTGCGTTATCGGAAACCGCGGGTGATGGTCCACTGTTTCGGGAGGCTCGCTGGCGGGGTTCCGAACGCGGAAGATATTTATGCGTGAGCGTGAACACAGCATGGGGGGCAATATACGCCCGCGAAGTCATCTTCCGAATCTTGGAATGCTGCAGGTTGATACAGCGCAGGTCCTCCGCGACACTGGCGGGTCGTACGTCTACAAGACTTTTACGTGTGTGCACGCTCTTCGTTTACTTTAAGCTCGTGCGTGCTCTGTGCTCTGTGGTGAGAGTAAGTTTTCCGGCGAGGCGCTTCTCGCCGGGATCGAGGAATTAGGATACGTTTGTCCGGCACATGAACAGTGCACGAAAGAAGTCAGGAATGGGCAAAACACTCGCAAAAATGTATCGAAATCCGAAGACAAAATACGTCGACCAAAATGTATGTAATTACATATCCAATTACACTTTTTAGAAACGTAAGATACAAATACAACAAGGGGTATTTGATCATTCTTAAATACTTTTACATATACATTTGGTTCCCATAGTTTGACAACTTAGGCTTAAATTTAACCTCAAGAAAAAAAAGGAAGGCCATTCCACAATAAAAAGGGGCGTGCGTATGTACGGAGAATGAGGTGCTTAAAGCTAAAGGGATTGTTAGGTCAAATTTTGTATTCGAGAAAACAATTGAATATCATTGTTATTGCCTCGAGACGCATTGTACGTGCAATATCTGAATTTTATATGCCCTCTGCATGAGTAATTGAATTTATACTGCTCCAATCGCACTCTAGCGTAAACACTGTTTTCGGTGGCAACATGGGAGCTCTGACGTCACACAACACAAAGCGAGCTTTTCTGTCTCGTCGTTTACCTGCGAGTGAACGCCTAAGCGTGCTTCGTTTTTGTTGTGCTTGACTTGTTTCGTGGTTGGGTGAGATTTTTGTTGCGCGGTTGGGTGCCACAACCACCGGGCAGCACATGCGAGCCCCAAGACATGACGTTCCACACTTTTCCGCAAGACGTGCAGTGACGAGCACAATTGATCGTCGCCGTGCGTAGGGACTGGGTTCCCGTCAAGATCGAGATCCCGCTTATGCAGCAATCATCTCACAGAGGAGAGCTACGAGCTCAGCTCTAAGGACACAAGGCTCGTAAGCTGAGGTGTGATGCAGTGCCAACGATATTAAGCTACGTCCATCCACTCCTCGCCCAAATCGGATCAATCAATTTGTTTATCCAGCGAAACCGAAACCGACAGCTAGACCACCCGGAAACGATACCAGAAGTTGTATTTAGCACGCGTGCAGCCAAATTCTGTTTGACCCGCACGTGCAAACAGAGCGTGGCTACGATTCACCAAATTCGTCCAAGTCAAGTGACGACATGCATTTGAACGATTCGCCGGTCGTCTTCGACCCGCGGTCATCGCCTCTGAGGGAAAGACCCGCAGCCTCATCACCGATCCAGTGGATCCGCCGATATGTGCACCCAGATACCGCTTCGTGTACCTAGTTGCCGCTTCAGAGGCGAAATCTGCATCCTTTGCTTTGCAAGTGCTCCTAATTCGATCGGTGGCCGTCGCAGTTGTGTTTGCGCGAAACGGCATACGTTTGCTCGAAGCTTATGGCTGTTTTCGAGTAATATCCTGCTGAAAGGCGTGACATTTTTTGCACACGCTTGGGAACTGCAATAAAAGAACCGTATTTCAGTAGGCTTCAGCTTAGGACAGTGGTTCTCAACCATCGATGTTTCGCGGACCCCTTGTGGATCGGCGGAGATGATGGAGGACCCCGTTCGTGGTGAGAGGAGAGGAAAGGTATAGGTTAAATATAATAATAATTTAATAAATGGATATAACTAAAGGCTAGTGTGAAGTAGAACTCTCTCATTAACGTTCACACGAAAAAACTCGACCGAAAACTAAAACATTGCTTTTCGACATAAAAAAAAAAAAAAAAAAAAAAAAAAAAAAAACTTTTATTCCTTGGCTTGACTGATGAGGCAGGGCTTCGCGGACCAGGCCTTCGCGGACCCCCATTAGAGAACCACTGGCCTAGGAGGCTCTATAATTTGAAACAAAATACAAGACATCCATCAACCAACGCTTGACATCCCGACCATCCGACAAACCTTTGCTTTTTGTGACGTCACGCAGCCGCTACTGATATCAGCCTTCGACACTGGCGAAATTCGGGGTGCAGTTTCGTACATACACTCATGAAAGGTTTAAGTAATAACGGGAGATCATATATCAAAATAAAAATGTTGTTTGTCTACATGAAGGCTCCCTCGACGTAACGAGCGCAAAAACGTAAGTACTTCCGGTTTCGACCGGACAATCCCTTTAAAGGGGCCGTGCAACGATATTCACGTGGAATGCTTTATTATTTTTTTTTCACTTTACACGAGCTTACTGGCGTTGGTGGGACCCAAGGATACTCGCACGCGACGCCATTGACCAAGAAACGCCTTTGTTACGGTGTGATTTCAAGGAGAAACGCGAGCGTTTGCTTTCAATCTCTCCTTCGCTAAACTTAATGAAGTATGGTTGCCAGTGACGATATTTGAATGAGGCTCATAGATTGGACCCGAGCATTGCGTGAGCACTCAATTTGGGCTCGTGAAAATCAATAGCACGACAAGCATTCGGGTATAGTGGCCCGTGTCCAATCGCTGCAATGCGAACCATAATGTCTGGAACTCAGCGCGTGTCCTGTGCTTTGCCAACTCCAACGTGTGGCTATGATCAACATTGGCGGCATACAATCGGCTCCAGATCACGTGGCCGTTTGTTCTGGCTGCGAGTTGAGGG